TATATATACGTATATATGTATATATGTATATATATATATATATATATAATGTGTGTGTGTGTGTGTGTGTGTGCATTTATATATATATGTATAAATGTGTGTGTATACGTATATGTGCATATGTAGACAAACATATATATATATATAGGTCTGTACGTCTACATATACTGTATTTAGATATTCTGGTGGTCACATTGAATACGATCCCCGTTGTCCACTGGGCTATTTATATGAATAATTTTCGTATTCACTCATTAGCCTATCACCTCCTTGGCAACCTTTCGCCTTGACTTTAACGACGCGTAGGCAGCGATCACAGTACTGTCCCGTATTCAGACGGTTGAAACTATTCCAATCAATCGCATCATATCACTCTCGGCCGCCGAAACTGTTGTTGTTCGATGAACCATAGTGTGCATCATATAGAGATTCTCCAGCCCAATATTACTTGATGCTATCTCTGACTCATTGATTTGCTCCCTCCGTGAGCTTGAACTTCAGGTAACGCTTTAATTTCTGCTATTTCCGGTAGACTCGCTCTTATCGGTCCTATTCACCGAAGGGCTCTGAACAACTCGTTGGTGTAGTAAATCACCCAACCGAAAACGCGTGAATATATGCTCCTCACCACTATTTCAAACCCACGCTTCAATAGTTTTGCTTCGTTGCCAAATAGGTGGGTAGCCTTGAGTTACAACAAAGGCTTCATCGATGTTCGGTACATCGTACAATTACAAGATTTTACTTTTTGTTTATTAATTCGCACTATCAGCCTTTCAAGTGTTCTGGGTGTTACTACTGGATCGCCTGTGAGCTATTCACAGTTGGCGTATTTTGTTGGTTCGGTTGGTCACTAAATTATTATTCGCATAAACTATCCTTTGCTATTGCACTCCTCTACGGACGGTGCTGACATTAACTCGTTACGTGCATCTGTTTTCTGTCTCATTGGCAGCGTCCCCCTATCGGACTCAAAATGTACGACGCAGAAGCAGAACATATTGCTAATTCATAGCACAAGCGTATCTTCTCCCTAATGTGCTTCAGATTTTAAAGTCGGGGACCTGACCCAATTTCCCGTGCTTTCAGTTCGGTAAATCTAAACTACTGTGTTGTGTGCGCTCGGTCAGCGAGCGCCTAGCGACGTGCTGTCTATCTCCTTTCCTGCGTGAAGTGGTCTACCGCGGGAGCAGACACCCTTAAAACATGTCTCGTATCTTTTATGAGTCTTGGGAAGTGTATTCAGTCGCCTAATCGCCGCCCAAGACAATACTCTCAATATCGATGACGCACCGTTTATAAAACGGGACACTTTTGATAACACTATTGATACTGTAAAAGAGGGCGGCAACCATTCATATGCAAAATTAGACGGAGAGTGTACATCCTGAAGTGCGAGCGTGATTACGCAAGAGAAATCTATACCCCACACCATATGAGTAAACATGAGGCTGGCACGTACAATCACAATCTACCTACCAACTTGCTTGTGAGAGGATATTTACCCAGCGCAATGTACATCCCATAGTATCTTCAGTCCAACCCATCAACGTACGGTATCGGCACGAGTCAGCAGCCGAGTTTGACACTAAAACTTAATCCGGCCATCTACCTACACTTACAAAGTTAACATCCTCGACATGTACCACTGTCTCAAGGGTGTGACTAGCTTCTCCAGGCTTTCCAATTTGGGTGGTTCTCCACCCTTTCGGCTGTACTTATAAAAATCGATTACTTCGGCCACTTCCCGTTCCAACTCCGCCCTCTGCGCAGTGCCTGGAAACGTCTGCTCAACCATGGCTTCTAAATTCAACACCTCCCCATCATTCGGTCCATGAGCCGGCCTCTGGTTGTCTGTAGATATACCAGTCGACTTCTTCTTGAAACTACTTTTCCTATGCTTTGGCCGACCAGAGCCGCCACTCGCGCTACTACTTCGTCGCTCACTCAGAGTCTCACACGACTCGGGTACCACAGGCCCCCGACTGAACGAGTCCAGCACCCACACCAGCACGCGCTGCACCTGTTTGCCATTGATAACGGCTGAGTGGATGAACTTGAACACACTGCGCAGGAGCTTATCCGCGGCCGTTTCGCACATGTACGAGAAGCCCTCGAGTCTCTCGCCTTTGCAATTGACGTGGTCACCCTTGAGTAGGGGCTTGAGCAGATCATGCAGCTCGGTGAGGAACACACACATGTTGCCGTGTACTATGAGATCTATGAACAAGGCCTCTGCGAAGCCCAGCATCTCTGTGGCGAAACGGATCACGCGCTTGTCGTCTAGCAGTTTCTTCCGAACATCCGTCCCGTCTTTGAAGTCCACCAATAGATTCAGGTACGCATAGATGCTTCCCAGCGACTGCTCGCTCAAGCCATCCACAAACTCACAGTCTAGCGATGGCTCACCTAGACTACTGATGAGCAGATCACTTAAATTTTGGCGTGAGCTGAACTTCTCGGCGTTAAACGGGTAGTGCTTCTCTACTATATCCCCACACTTACGAAGGATCCGCGGGTCAATGCCCGAATACTCGCGTATGTGATTGAGCTCCTCTTCCAGGTCTTGAACACCCAACACCCACTCTATCCACAGCGACAGGAGTGTGTCTCCGCCAAAGGACAGTCGGAACACAATGTGTAGCAGCACTGACGAGAGACGCTTTCCGCTATACTTCGTAATGGTGATTAGCGTCTTCCATGGCATTTTGGCGTATCTGACAGATGCACGTGAGCAGGGTTAGTACTTGGGAGAGACCACGAGGGAGTTGACCCAATCAGAACCCACTGTGGCCATTGAAGATGTTATGGCACTTCAAAGGCAGATATGACATATTCACACATGAATCTGCAAGTCATACATTGCGGCATTTCACGTGTTAAGAAAAAGACAGTGTATCTGCCACATGATCATATAGATG